GCCAATTAAGGGATGGGACTCTTCCACTATAAGCACAAGCCACATGCCCGGTCTTTAGTTTGATATCTCAGCAGTTTCTGAGTCCTTCATGAGCCAAGTTAGGCATGTGGTTTGTGTTGAGTTAGGAATATAAGCCTCTGCTGGTTTTCTTTGCTGCTTTTCTTAGAAGTTGTCCCTTTCCCACACAAGTGAACACAAATGATCAAACACAACTTTTATCATGAATTAAAAAATGAGAATACACCAAAAAGTGGGTGCATGTGGGGAGAGGGGGAGCAGGCATGGAAAATCAGTGGTATTGCATTCGCAGTCAGCCAGTGTCCCAGCAGGCTGTCCTGGGCACTGGACATAGTACCAAAGCAAAGCCCAGGAACGCAGCAACCTTCTCCATGTGGTCGTTTCTATTGTTAACAGCACAGAGAGAGGAGAAACTGCAATCAGGAGTCATATTAAAAAGCTTTATTTGGGGGGGGAATGGGCATTTATTGAAACCTTAAAATCTGTATCCCCATAATATGCCGAAATAAAAAAAAAAGAAAAAAAACCTTTATTTGAAAAAGGAGAAAGGTTCATTTCTATGAGATTGTGTAAGTGGGTACTGCATGTATGTTTATACCATATATCTACAGACAACATGCACACACATGTAACATCTCTACAGAGCTTTCAAGTCTTTCTTCTAAGCAGCAAACATTTAAAGATCATTAAACATGGGGAAAGAAAATGTTTCTTTTTGACATTTGGTATAAAGCAGTGGTTTTCAAAACCAATTGTGTACCAATATTACCTAGGAAGCTTTTTAAACAATACAGATGCTCAGGCCTCATCCTGGACATACTGAATTGGAACCTCTCTCCTGTGATGGATATCCGAGAACTGATAGTTTTGCCACCTGGAAACAGCTGCTGCAGGGACAAGGACTACATAATCCCCTCATCACCATTTGATCCTTCCAGGACAGCACACTTGCTCTTGGCTCCAGGTTATGCCAGGAGAAGCCCTGACGTTTGGATAGGGGTTGAAAAACATTGTTCAGGACCCTTCAAAATTTGACAACACTCCATTCAGCATGTATCGGGAAGAAGTGCCCTTGGAATACAGGCTGAACCCCAAACCTTCAGGCAGGTTCCCTAGCAGAGCCGAGTCTTCCTCTTTTCTCAAGTGATTCTCTCATTTTGCCTCAAGTAAAACTAACAAAAACTGTTTATCGAGCACTTACTATAGACCTGGCACCATGCCAAATGTCTTTATTCTGCTGTTATAAGACAATAGGTAGAGCTGTTTTCATCCCCATTTTATAGATGAGAAAACCAAGGCTTGTCCACAGCAACAAAATAGCAAGGGACAGAGTCAAAAATAAGCCAGGCCATCAGACTGAGGCCTAAATGCTTGACCACTGGGCAGTATGCCTTCCAATCAGCTCTGGCACATGGAACACACACAAAAAAGGAAGTGGGTAGGAGAGAGAATTACTTTTAATCTCCACATTAACTTCATAACCAAATAGGGGGTACTTCTTAGCATAATCAGCTCCTGCCAGTGGTAGCGAAAGAGAGGAAACAAAAGAAAATATAGGCCAAATATGTGGAAATATGCATGTTATTTCTTTGTTCTCATGATACCAATTCATTTCAAGTGGGGGATTGGAATAATTGCTTAATTTGGGTGATTAAGGTGCCAAGTGCTAGCTCTTTTCTTTGCTCTAACTACAATGAAGAACAATCCCACATCTAAGATAAAGAGTGTTCACAGCCTTCTCTAATTCCCCACCCAATTTTTACTCTTCACAAAAGTCCTCTAGGTTCTCTGACATTGCTGTGAAATGTATTCACATGGCTGGGAGGGGAGGCTAAGGAAGAGGCTTTGCTCAGTGTCTCATCAAAGCCTTTCCACATACAAGTGTGTCTCCTGCATTTAGGGAAAGTGTTGCATTTTTAGCCCCTTTCCTAGTCACTTCCACACTAATTAGTAAGGGTATCATTTTATAAATTACAGCTTCATATCAGAGGAAAGCAGAGTTTATCTTAATGCAGTCAGCTGTGTGAAATACAGTACCCTAATTTTAGATCGCCGGTTCTGCAGATCCCTATGGAGCAAGAGAATGACAGGTCTTCCGGAGAGTAATCCCAGCGGGTTCCCTACAAGTCTCACTTTTGCCTCCAACAGCATCCCTGGTGGGGCTTGCTGAAGGGTTCCCAGGACACTGAGTGGCATCTTTTCTACCATTAGCAATTCAGATTTGAATGCGAATCCTCCAAGCAGCACATGAAAGCAGCCCTGGTTAGCTCTGGGGCTCCAAGGGGAGCACAGGCAAGAGGTTCTAGTGCAGACGAGGCTGACGGGGGCCAGGCTCCGACAGAGCACAAGTCTGGGAGGATGGTGTTGAAGACGGTGATAAACACCAGACAATCTCAGTCGGAAAGGGGAAGCCTGACAGTCCTAACTACATACAACAGGGCCAAGAAGGCACGATGGCAATTACAGAGTCTTGACTACTCCTGCCAGGAACCACTGGAGAAATGGTCTGTGGCAGGGCAGGGACAGATGATGTGAGTGCTGGTTGTGGTGAAGCTTAGGAAGAAGACCTGCAGGACTGCCACAGTCAAAAGGAAGAATGACAAGGAGGGCCAAAGCAAGAAGTGTGCTGTGCATCAGAGGAGCACTTCTAATGTTCCTGTCCTTCCTGCCATGGCCATCCTCTTGCACTTGCCTATAAACATCTACGTATCTCTTTTACTGTTTTGAAATCAACCCAAACTCAGAGTGGTGGATGTGGGCTACCTTCCCAACATTCATCTTTGCTGCTTCTTGAACTTGGAAATGGAAACCTAGGCAACAATGACTTGAGAATTCAGGTTGTGGAAAAGGACTAGTTGGGGTGCTGTCAGTATGCAGGGAGCACCTTGGCCCCCAGATCCCTCTGACAACCACAGGTGGCTTACTTCTAGAAATCACCAGTTAGGTGATCATCTAGACTAGTGGTGTGGGTTAGTCCGAGCCAGAGGTAACTGACCTGGGATGAGGCACAGGCATTGGGATTTGTCACAGCTTCCCAAGTGATATTGGTGAGTATCCCAGGTTGAGACCACTGATTAAGCTGCTTACAAGGAATGCAAAGCTGGGCATCCTTACTACCTTTTAGCACTGCTGAAGACTGGTGATGGTTCTGGAGTTCACAATTCCTTTTAAAGAAAATATGTCTGCTCAGTTGTGAAACCCTGAATAAAGCTCATCCTCTTAGAGAAGTAGCACAGACCTAGAAAGTGAGATCAACCATTGCCTACAGATTTCCTGGAATGCCCAGAAGGTACCAGTCCCTCCATGGGTACCAGTGACACCAAATGAGCTGTTGACTGCCATGTGGGAATGTGGCCTGGGGGGCTTGGGTAGCCAGTGACCACACCTTGAACACTGAACCATTACTGCCATGCACAAGTCCCTGGCACCCACTACACACTGGCTGCCTGAGACACCAGGGGTCCAACTGCCAAGGAGCTAAGAGTCCTGGGGGCTGGAGGAAGGAAGCTCCTACTTGTCAGTTAAACAAAAGAATAATCCACAGCCCCCTTTCCAGTGTGTACTTTCGCTGTCATCCAACAGCCCATTACCATGTCACAGCACAGCGCACCCTTCCATAGGTCACTTTGTTTAAAATGACATGGATAATGCACATGTCAGCAAGCTGACAGTCCTGGCCGTCCTTCAGAGATAAAAACCTCAAGGCGAGAGCCTGTTCTTATCTGGGGGACATGCATTGGTCTATCATCCAAGTCAGGCAGAACATGATTTCTCCAGAGAGCACTTTTTTCATTTCCTGATTTTAAGGAAATCAAATAAGCACCATTTGTCTTCATCTGAATATGCTTGACCTGCTCAAATGATGATGTCTCGCATTTTATAACAGGCTACATATGCTGAATTCAAATTAACGACAGTACAGAACAAGAGCCTTTAGATCTCTCTTGGAGGCTGGCAGCAAAGAAGAAGGGAAAAATTCTGGTCTTGTTGGAAATATCCCACTAAACACTAACCACAGGATTCTGAATAAAATCCGCAAGCACGTAGGAGGTGAAAGTCAAAGAAGAGGGCCCAGGACAGATCCAGAAATGGGGGAGGGAGGTCTAATCCATCCTTTCAGTGCCAAGCAATACAGAAACCATGGTATTCAAGTAATGCTTTTTGAAATACACAAAGCAGCAGTAAAAATGGGAAGACATTTGGTTGGGGATTGGGAGAGCTAAAACAAAAACAAAAAAAAAAAAAAGGAAGACCAAACAAACCATTCCTTTGCTTTCGTTGCTTTAAGCAGCAGAAAGTCCAGTTTACCAGGTTGTGATCCAATCTTTTGGAAGCTCTGAAACTGAGCTCCTTTTCTTGATCCATGTTGAATTGGATACGCAGAGGCTGGTGGCCATCAGCATCAAAACAGAGTATGTACCTGCAGGAAGAACTGTCCTCCTACCTGCGAATCCATCCGGATAAGAAGAGAGAAGTTCCCATCTGTGCTTCGCTGCCCATCCCTACCCATGATGAGATTCCTAGCCATGTTCATTAAGACTTCTATTAAGAAGGCCAATATGTACAGAAAAGCAGGAAGGAACTTATGGGTCAGTAAAATTAATGCAAAAATGACTTTATAAATACATACTAGCAAGTTTAATGTTCTCATCATGGATTAAAAAAATTATATGGCTATTAAAATAATTTCTTCTTTTAAAATGTTTTTTGCATCTATGAGTCCATATTCCATAAAGTGAAAACTCAGTGCCATATATATTCAATATTAAAGGACTCGTTTCAAAAAAAAAGAATATCTCAAAAACTAAATATATTATATTTTAACATAGGAAATGTCACTGTGTGAATAATGCCCATTTTTCCAGAAGAGAAAAGGTACTGTCAACATGAAGCTGGCATTCCACCTTGCAGCTGTGTATAGGAGGACTACGGTGTTCATAGTGTCTTATGTGCTGTGCCCATGATGGGGGAGGGGGTCTTACCTTCTCTTCCTGGTCACTGTCACTGTCACACTGAAAATGAAGACAAGAGAATAAGGGTTAGTACAAGGATTATGTTTTTGTTTTTGATACCCACTCTTCCCCCTGCTCAAAAGGGCAAAACAGATAAAAGAAATAAGAAATGTTGTCTAAGCTAGAAAGAGAGAATTTCTTTAGCTCAAATTACTAGTAAACAGAATCAGAAGCAAAATGCTGTTCAGATGCAAAAGGTTGTTATGTTGATCTCGTCTGATGCCTGTATTCTGTGGCTCTTCCTGGAGTCAGTCGGACAAGGTGCCCAATCACACCACTGAGTACCCCACCATACAGTAGAAGGGATTCCCCTCTAGGAATCAACCTGTCATGAGATTAAGGTGAATCAAGATCATTTAATGGAATTCAGAGCAAAATCAATTCTTAATGAAGAAATTCTACCTTTACTTCACATAAATGACTCTATCTCTCCTGGGGATTTTCTAAAGGAAAACAGGTAAACCTCTGGGCATGTATTCTCTCATTTGTACTTTGAAGGAAACAGAACATAATGGGCAAAGCTCACCACTTGTGATGGCTGCCTTTTCCACAGTTTAGAGGCCCTGAAAATGGAAGAAACATTCCCTACAAAAAACATGCCAAAGACAAAAGGTCAGAATAATGAATCAATCAACGGTATGAGCAAAAAAAAAATATTTTAGTGCCATAGACTTGACGCTGTATCTAACAGATACCAAATTCCAACTGTTGAGCTGGGTTTGGGACTAGAGAATGATAATTAATAATTAACCTAAAGCTTTAAATTCCTCATTAGACATGAAAAAAATAATTAAAAATAATTGAGAATATTTTGTTAATGAATATTTGATTAAAAATAGGGGATGTGTTTTGTTAGAGTAATTGCTCAGCAGATAAACACATCCATTCATTCACTCAACAGCCCTCGACAAGGCACTGTTAAGCTATAAAGAAATTCAACCAAGTTGTAGGACTGGTCCTAACATAGCCTTTAGTTTAGTGTTAGACAAGAAGCTTGAACTCAAACACTGAGCAGGGGTGTGACATGATCAGAGATGTTTCCATTAAGATGACTCTTTCCATGGAGTGTGCACAATGGGGAAGAAACGGGTCACAGGAAAAGCAGTTTGGCAACTATTACATTGTCTAAACAGGGTGGTGCCATGGTTTGGGAAAGGGAGAAACAGATGGCGTAGCAATTCTGAGGTAGAACCATAGGACTTGACAACACACAGATATGGGAAGTAAGTAACAGGGATGAGACTAGGATGATGCCAAGGTTTTTTAGTATGGCCACCTGGACATGGGAGTTGATGTAACTACAAACAGAAACAGGAAATAAATTTGCTTGTAGAACAGTCATTGCTGGCTAGATATCCATAGCCATTTACAGCTTCCTTCTTCCTAGTCTGTACCTCCTCCTGACACTCTGAGGTTAAAAAAGCCAGACATTTTCTTTCTCAATTTTTCTTGCCATTAAGGGTGGTCATAAGACCCATCTTTGGTGAATAAAATTTTGAAATCTCCTGAGGGTTTTAGAAAAAAAAGTCTCTCTTGGGTAAAAAGAGAAAAGCAGGAACCACCTGCCTCTCGCCTTTGAACATGATTATATAAAGACATGATGTCTGGATCTGTAGCAGTCATCTTTGCTATCATTTTTAGGCAAAAAGGCTAAGTACAAAAACAAGATGGTGGGACCAAGGGAAGAAAAGTCTGACATAATTGAGCCAATGTACTATTAGAGCATGTTCAATGGAAAGTAACAAAAGGCCCATCCAAATGGATATCTTGCTATCATAAGATACAATTTAGGGACTACTTCCTCTTTTCAGACTCAGCATTCTGTACCATGAACATTTAAAAACTTATATCACAATCTTACACACTAGAGGATTTTTACATTTTCTACTTCTTCCATTGGCTACTCAGTGCCATAGGGTTATCAGATATTTAGTGACAGTGATTTAAACAAGTACAACTACATTGTTTTCAACTAAGCTTCTGACCTCAGATTATCTAAATTTACATTATTTTGCCTCATGAATGATTTCTCTATTATAATAAATCAGATGAGTTGAGAAAGAAAATGGGTGAGATAAAGACTTTGCAGGCCTAGAACAACAACAGATGGATGAGGAACAACAGTGTTCTCCTGATTTTGCAATCTCTCCATTGCCTTTAATTAAGCTCTCCTTGAAGCTCCTAAGGTCCGGGCACATTTTCAAGAGTGACAATGCATGATTCAGGAGGAGTGTGGAAGACAGAAGAGCATTTTGCCAGGCAGGCTCATTTCCCAGATGTTCACAGCTCTCCTTGTGAGGTAATCAATGACAGCTGAAGGCTGTGGCATAGCATTTGCCCAGACCCCCAAGGATCTGGTATGTATGGGGGAGAGTGAGTGGGGAAGTTGGGAAGAACCACCACTGTGCACCCCCATCCAAACAGCAGTATGTCCCTAGGAATGGTTATTTCTATCAAAGTGTTAAGCTTCCTGCTTTCCAACAGTCCAGTTCTAATTTCAAGGTCCACTTAATTCTGCATCAAGTAATTACTGATATACCCAGAAGCACCTTGTCTCCAGAGTTAAGCATATGGTGAAGAACTGAGACCTACTGGTATCCATTATGGAAGCAGCACGGATGCCAAGCCGATTAAAAATGCTCAGGCTCCCCACATAACATGCCGGGTGAGTGACAGCTCCTCGACAAGGCCAGTCGCAGAGTCTGCCAAAACAGTCTCTGCTGCACTGGGGCCCACATGGTGTGCTGAGAAAACAGTTCCATTTCTGGTATTAAATTCCCATACTGACCCGAGGACTTTGCCGTGAGCTCAGCAGGAGCGCACCATCCAATTTACAGCTCCACTCTCTGGAGCCTCGAGTGCCAGCCCCTGGCAGAGACGAATGATGGTCAACCCCTCCAGCTCATAAATTATGCAAAGGCAATAAATGCACTCAGCAAACAGCGTCTAACGTTTGCCTAGCCTGGCTCCTAACACACTCTGTAAAAAGCCAGAAGCTCGACACATACAAGAGGTCTATTCCACTCATAAAGGGGGTTTGTTGACAACCCCAGACGGAAAGCGAGCCACAGTCCTAAGGAGTCTTTCTGCTTCACTGGCAGCGGTTTATGGGCCTGCTTTATGAAAAAGGGAGGCTGTTTTATAGAGTCAGTGTGGGTAGAATTCATGGTCTCAAATTCACATTTAATACACTATACAGCTTTCACACCCTAAGTTCAATATGTTGTGGATTTTTGACCAAATGATTCTTGGTCTTCAAAGGTTAAAAGAAGAAGTGTCTCTCCACAATCCCTAGATACCCACTCCAATTTATAAGAGTTCACACTGAACCACCTCTTGATTCAGGTTTATGTTCTGCATGAAGCTGAGAAATGGAAAAGGCATGTCAAATGCAGAAACAGGATCCCTGCTGATTTGACCATTTTAAGCATTTTGACATTGGGGCCCTGCTTTGGTTTATTAGCAAACAGGTTGCACACTAACTACCAGCTTGAGGTGACAGAGTGCTCTTCATGACAAGATTTCAAAGCCCTTTGTGAAAAGTTGAAAATATTTTCCTCCATTTTAAAAGAAATGAAAATGAACAAGTAGCCCTTACAGCACTGACAGGTAAAAATTCTTGGTCCCCCAGCCTTCAGACAAAGACATGACCTAAACCACCACAGACAAAAAGAGGAAAAGAGGAAATGTGCATACTAAGAAACAGGCCTCGAATGCAGAGCTAGAAAGGGACTAGTTTCTCACCTGGTCCCTCTAACCATCCCCACATAGCTATCATTCAACTTCACCTTCACCTTCTCTCACTTCTACTTTCATAAATTAAAAGTGAACTGGTGGAGACACCATTTTCCTTTCTCAGATAAGTCCTACTCCTTAAACGACCAACCCACCCATCCTATATTTCCCCTTCTAAAAATACAGATTTATTGGATCATTTAAAAAATCATCTGTAAGTCAACAATCCATAAGGAAACACTGGTTAACACATTTGTACAATTTTTTCCAGTCTTATCTTTTAAGGAAATATATACATTCCTCCTCATCCTTCACACATACATTTTAATAAAAATGAATTCTTAGCATTTTGTAACTTGCTTTTCTTTTCATATAACATGTCAAATATTTTAGTTTAATCAGGAAAATTTTCCTATAACATCACTTAAAAAATGGCTGCACTGCAATCCATTGCATGGACTGTAGCATAATCTAATTTTAAAAATTCCCTAGTGCTAAGTATTTATTAAATAGATTGTTTCAGTTGAGCATCCTGGAATTTTTCCCTTTGCACACATTCACCAATATTGCTCTTTCCCAGTATCTGTTCATGGCCCTTCCTTTTATGCATATTCTTTAATGTCACTGTCTCCCCAGAGTTACATTGGTAGTTCTATTGTTGCTATGTGTTTTCCAGGGGAGTCCTTAAAGAGCCCCTTGGTTCCCTCTACCATGTATACACTGAGACTAAAAAACCTCCATGCCCACATTTGCCAGCCATGTAACTTTGGAAAAGTTATTTATACTCTCTGTGCCTCAGTTTACTTACCAGTAAAATGTGGCTAATAATAGCTTTTTCTAATAAGAAGATGAGAATAAAATGAGTTCATACATGTAAACAGCTTAGACAATGCATGGTACAGACTATACACAGATGTTAAATGTTTATCATTATTATGTTTCTGTTTGCCATGTACCCCTTCTTGATGTGCTTGCTATGAATACCTCATACTCAAGAATCCATCTATTCTGGACTCATCTTTGCTCACTCTCCCTTTTCTAATCCAAGTCCTTATTAACCATAGTGGATTTCCTAATTTCTATTGGATGATGATGCTTCCCAAGACCATAGAAGCCTCTTCACATTCTGTTTCCAACCACAACCCCACCTCCAACTTCCAACCACTCCCTCAACACGATGCCCCTAAGCTTTCTGTGATGAAGCGCCATTTGTTTTTGTTTTGTTTTCTTTAACTTTCAATAAGTTGTAGACCAATACTTTTGTA